CTGTTGCAGCGGTGATGTCTTGAAATTCTCTTATAATTTTTTCATGTATATGTTTGTCATAGAGGTGAGAGCGGCCATCCCATAGGAAGTCCAAATGCCTGTTTATAGGTTTTTCTGTTAGATATGAAATATGCAGTCTTATTCTAAAGTTTATTAGTCGTTTTAACGACTCTCTCCTGATCTTCTCTGCCTTCAGGATAACTTCCTCTCGGTTCATAAAATCTATCAGGGCGTTAACGTCATTTATCTATCTATGTTTTTATACATAGATTGTACATCAAAACCTACTATTAATTCTGTTTCTTCCAGTGCCATGCGAATGCTTAACTGTGTTTGATAATCTTTCGTTTGCCTTTTTCAGTTTGTGACATATGAACTTTGCTACTTTGTGTGTTACTTCATACTTTGTTGGAGGGACTTTTATTTCGTATGAAGGTGCACGAAGAAGAAATTCGTAGGTCGATCTCACCAGAAGAGGACGGCTGGGTCCCGTTGTGCCGCAGCTGTTTGGCTCTTATACAACGTTCAGGCTGACCCAGTCCACGAGACCTCCTTCCTCGTTTCGGGTCAAAACGGGCTGAGCTTTCGTCCATCATTCGATGGACATCATCTGAGCTTGGCCTCATTCCTCTGATGATAGACGAAAGCTCAGCCCGTTTTCACCTGAAACGAGGGAGGAGGTCTCGTGGACTGCGTCAACTTGAACTTTGTATAAAAGTGAAACGGCTGCAATACAACGGGATTCAGCCGTCCTTTTCTGGTGAGATCGACCTACGAATTTATTCTTCATACACTCTCATACGAAATGAAAGTCCCTCAACAATGTTACCTCAGGAGATTCATCGAAACCCAGTTTCTCTTCTTATCTACAATGCTTCATACGCGTTGATTATCAGTCTTAGTAGTTCCCCTTCTTTGTATATATTCGTTAGTCCATAGGCTGTTAGTAGTCGTACATGCTTTCTTACGATTTAATTTTTCATCCATGCATCAATTTCTTCGTTCCTATACATATATTTTAACATTTCACGTAAGGTTGCATTGATCTTCATATTTTTGGTATTTCTTTAGTATGGCGTGGTCTTCTGTTTGGTCACAGTCTTCTTTAGCTTTATAGTGTTAGTTCGACCTTGTTTCGGCAACTTGGTCGAAGCGTCAGGAAGAACTTGTGGAACGTACCTAGTATCGTGTCCTCTGCCATTCTCGGAATATTTTTAGTCCATTATCACTGTCCCTTCTTTGTCCGCCTGAAGCACTAATTGTTCATTTATTTCTAGTTTTCTGTGTATTCTCGCAAATCTGTTCTCTTGTCTTGGTTCATTAAATAAGCAATAGATCTAAGTGCCCACGAGGAAGCTCTGGATAGTAGGCCTGAGTCAGATTTGCAAATTAGGAGGAAGGAGGGAGCAAGACAAGCAGTTGGTGTGGTGATACCACATTAAACTTATCAAGAGTGGAATATAAACAAGTCGAAAGCTGTGATAGGGAAGGAGTGAGATAAGATAGTGGGGAGTAGATAGATGGGTCAGAACACCAAGATAAGTGATATCACAATCGTTTCGGTAGAAAGTTGGTCAAGGGATTCGTTTCACTTGTCTCTTTTATGAGTTGTAGCTCAGAGCTTGGAATAGCGAGACTCATTGACGATGCCGGCGAACCTCCTAGGAATGTTCCATATTCACGGTTTAAGGCAGAGGACTTTGGGCAAGGTGAGTCAACCGAATCGCCCTGACAACGAGGTCAGACAAATTCAATACATCGAAAGGAGACTGCGACCTAAATATTGGCTACAATACATTGGTCTTCATATCTGAGGAAAAGAAATTGCGAGGAGGCCTCAAAGGAACGATCGGAAATCAAGAGATGTCTACAGTGAGCCTACTTAAACCAAGTAGAACAACTATCTTATTTTGGGGGCATAGGGAATTCATAGACTTGGCATTATGGATGGAAGTGCAAGAGATGCTGCTGAGACCAGAGATAATTGGTTTGCAATACATGGGTTTCATTACAGACGTGGTCCATCAAGTGAAGACTAAATTACGAGATTTACTCCGTGCATATTGCCAAACATTGTTGGGGGATGAAAAAGACATTCGTAGGTCGATCTCACCAGAAGATGATGGCTGAATTCCGTTGTATTGCAGCCGTTTGGCTTTTGCACGCCGTTCAAGTTGACGCAGTCCATGAGGCCTCCTTCCTCTTTCATACGAAATGAAAGTCCCTCCAACAATGTTATCACAGGATATTCATCGAAACCCAGTTACTCCTCGTATTTATACTGCCGAACAGTTATAAGTTAGCTTTCCATCCACCTTTACAATCCAGACTTTAGAGGTCTGCTCAATTCGGCTGAAGTATGCGTGCTAGCAAAGGCTTGATGTAGAGTGCACGATATAACGCCTCGAGTAGCATGGATATGCTGGTAGTGATATAGGCAAATCATTGAACCAGAGAGATAGGAAATTGGTTCTAAAGGGCCAGAAGGAAACTCTGTCAACGCCTTGATGGAGCGGATTACGGAATAAAAGGGCAGATTTGAATCAACACCCCAGGTACAGGGGAAGTGAGGAAACCAGCGGGAAATGTGAATAGGTTTCATTGACTTCGCTCCAAAGGGCACGTCTGAATTAGGTTTAAATAAGCAAGTATGAAATGGTCATGGTTATGGAGTGATAAGAAGATATAGTACAAGTGAATACACTACAACAGAAGGAGAGATGCCACAACTATTCTGCAGGCAGTTGACCAAAGGATCAATTTCACTTGTCTGCTTGACCAGTTTTAGTGTGGTACTACGAATGACAGGACTCACTTATGAAGCTGACGAATCGTCCGGGAATGCATTAACTCCACGGTCCAACACTGGGAATTATTAACTGCTTGAACAGAAGGCTCGGACTTCTTCTAGGTTTCTTTGGTAATACGGCCAAATTGTGAAAACCACTTCTAAAATTCTAGTGCTTTACCTTATAAAATACACTTTTAATATGG